CTACCGAGGATAACACGGCTTATTTAAGTGAACGAACGCGTCACTACTAATTAGTCTAGCCTATTTTTCTAATTCGTAAAGCGGCCTAATTTCTCCTGCTTCTTCAAATATGTTCGCGTCTTTCCCCATAAGCGTACTAGAGACGCCGCAGTCCCTCCCCACTGACCAATCTGAGCCTGTGCAAAGAAAGAGTGTCCATTTGGTAAAGCTCGTAAATTCAAAAGAAAAAAAAATTACCAGCCATCTAGGAGATTCTGGGAAGCTGTATCAGACAAGGAATAAATCCTGAAATGAAGCCAATGGCCAATTTTTCATAGTTTTAAATGGCGAATGGCGAGGCGAGGAGATTGGCCCATGGCCTCGCCACGAGGCGAGTCGATTCGCCATGGCGAGGCCTCGGCTACACATATCACCAAAATTTAGAAAAACAATATTATAGATTGTGCAATTATATAGTTGTGTACAAATGATTAAAATAACATCAAATCTCCCATAAAGGCAAGTAACTGAAACACAAACACCAGTTAAGAAAGTAATTGAAGGTTTTTTAAGGTGAAGATTTGTTTGCTTATGTCCTCAGTCCGGTAAAACCCTAGCTTCGTGGGTCTGGGAGATGAAGGAAAAAAGAGCCCGATGTGCGTTTTTTTTTTTTATTCTCTTTTCCAGAAAGTGTTAACACGCATTTATTATTATTTTTTTTTTAAACAAATAAGGGGTGGTATGCGCCTTTAATTCCCCTTAAAGGCGATGAGGTGCGCCACACAGGCGCCTCTCGCCATACGAAAAGGCGAGCCGAGGCGTCCTGAAGCGAACGCCTCACGAACAGGGTCGCCTCAGGCAGGGGCGAGGCGATGTGACCCTCGCCTCGGTCGCGTCGCCTCAAGGCGTCGCCATTTTAAACTATGCAATTTTTCATAAACTGACCAATAATTATAGCAAACTACAGTGCCCATTGAAAACCAAATTACCTATTAAAGCCAAGAGGCGCCAAGAGATGATGTTACCAACAAGATACATTATGGAAGCCCCACAACATATCATCAACTAAAGCATCACCATTCATCAGAAGCACTTGATATCAGCATATTCACGTATAAGATTGACTTACTTTCTCGAGACCAAAGAGTGACATTTCAACTTCCGTGATTGGCTGCTGTGAATTCTCCTCGGAGATTCTTAGGCTATATATACTGCTACCTATGTGCCAGGCTAAAATTTTATAACATTACAATAAAAGAGAAGAATGAAGTTCAAACTGTATGTACCGTGAAAAAAGAAGTCCGATCCTGAACCCAGTTGACAGCCTCCCGATATCAAGCCACCAAACGTTCTGTGTTGATAGACGATAAGCCAAACCAGAATCACTTGTTCTAAATATCTTTTGCTTGTAGCTTTAATATCGTGCTCATTAAAATAGATGGACTGATGTCATCTTTCCATTTACTTTATGATATTGTAACGGAATACCGAATTGCACAAATATGCAAAACTGAGTCTGAGGTCCGACGCATTCATTCAAACGCATGAGCAAAACCTCTGGATTAAAATACCTTAGCAAAGGCTATTGCTATCCACCCAATAATGTTAAATAATTCTGCAAACGCCATCACCTGCAATATGTACTGCAAGTTCGAATCCAAGTGAAATGGGTGCAAAAAAGAACTTCCTGTTATATAAAATCATCTGAGTTGCATAAATATCAGCTAACAAACATAATCTGCAATTGCTAAGGCAATAGTTAGAACCTTTTCAAAATTTCCAATAAATAAACTTTTCAAGCATTCAGTGTCTACTCCCACTGAACTAAATAAGGGCATGTTCAGTTTTTTTCACTATTTGAACCATGGAGATGGCCGTATGCTCATGTTCAGTTTTTTTTCAAGCATTCTCTTGTAATCATTTCTTTTTTTTTTTTTTATGTAACTTTTATCAAATTGTAGGAAATAGAAACATAATTAAAAAAAAGGTTTTCCATTAAACGAAAAAAGGATTATAAACTAAATATCACAATGCTCATTTCTTAATACAAAAGGGCAAAAAAAAAAAGCTTAGACTGCCTGATGAGCATCATACATACAGAGTAAAAAACGAACAAGACCGCAACATCTCCCGATTTATTGAAGCCTTTCTCTATCTTATTCTTGATCCAATCAAACATTTTCTTAATCCAATCAAACTTTGTTTCTTTATGCATGTGGTCAAATAAATTCTAGAAAATTTTGTTATGACACCAGTGATACAGTCAGAAATCCCGCAAGAATGGCGATTCCACACCAGCATATTGCAAGACCTCCATCTGAGTCATTAAATTGACGACAGGAGAAAAAAAGAAGTGTTGATGTATAATTGTGGATAGCGATGCTGGATTTTTTCGAATAGTTTTGGAAAGCATTATAAATTATAAAAGCTACACATGCTCAAAAAATGGCTTGAACCACCATTTTACTTTGACAGTGTTTTTGGCAACCATTTTTTTTTCTTTCCGAAAATACTGATGTTGAAGCCAAATGCCTTAACTTCAAGAAAACCGACGAGAAATAAGAGAGAGAAGCCGAGTGTGGTACCAAATGTTGGCTTCTTTGAATAAAAAGACCATTGACTTCGACAGTGGCTACCTGCACAATTACAGCATGACCCACTAAGATTCTTGGAACTACGACTAGCTCCATTGATATAGAGGTTGAATTAGCCACAAACTCAGGCGTAAGTCGCACGTTCATTGGCAACATACAAGCTGCATGTAGGAAAAAAAATAATAAATACGAATTGGCAAAATAATCTTAGTTACTACGCTAATATACACAATGAACCAAATATAAAACAAGAACGGCAGAACTATTGTAATGACCAGAACTAATGCAAAGTACTCATCAATATCCAAGGTCAAAAATCGTCCATGCTTGTTAAATTCGTATTTCAAGAAATTTTTAAGTGCCGCATTACTAGTACAATCGTCGAGATTCATCCAAAAACCTCCTAACTCAGTCTTAAAATCCTTTATCTGATCATAATCAAAATCTGGGATGTCGCTCAGTAGCGCATATTCTGGAAAGGTCTTGAAAAAGTGGGTACTTATCTGCGAAATAACTGGTTGAACGAGACAGATTGCGTTTTTCGCAAAGGGAAAGGTGTGCGGCAACTGGTAGGCACTGTGGAGATAGAATACCTAACAAAGGTATCCACTGTCAAATCTAAGCTCGTCAGTCGCTTTTCGTGCATATTCGCGTAAGTTTTTCGGAATTTCTTGACACTTAGATGTTTCTTCACACTCTGGAATTTCTTCAGACTTCGGAGATTCTTCGCACTTCGGAATTTCTTCAAATTTCAGAATTTCTGCACACATGGAAACCACTAAACGCCTGGGAACGAATGCCGAATGCCTGGAATGAACAAAAACAAGAAACCAATTAACATTATTAGACTAAGTAACAAAATGAAGAAACTTCTAAACAACTTTGGGACGAGCTCGCCGAGAGATATGGAGAAAGCAACGGACCTTTGAGATATCATTTACAATGGGAAATTGTAAATTTCTCCCAAGGTAATCTGTTTTTCATGACTTATTATACGAAGCTAAGTGCCTCTGGGATGAATATGCGTGTTTAGTATCATTGCCTGAATGGGTCTGGGAAGGCTTTTTCTGAGAATGAGATGGAGATTAAATTGATGCAGTTCCTTACGGGTTTGAATGAGGTTTTTGAGCCAATTAAAAATCAGATTTTATTGTTCGATCATCTGCCAACTATAAATGAGGCTTGTGCGATGGTTCTGAAGGTCGAGAAGCAAAATCTTTGATATACACTGGTTATGATACACTTGAGTCCTTCGCGATGTTTGTGAAAGGAGGTTATGAAAGAGGAACTGGTAGAGGTACAGGTTTTGGAAGAGGAAATTTTAACCCAAGAGGATTTAGACAAAACAACTCAGTTGGAGGAAAGGAAAGAGCAATGTAAGACTTAGCAAAGAGGAGAGAGCCAAACTGAAATGTAGCCATTGTGCCTTCAAAGGCCATGAGATCCAAGGTTGTTTTAAGCTCATTGGATATCCTGGCTGGTATAAGGAGCTTAAGGAACACAGACAAAATCAAACAAATAATCTGGTGGAAAATGATGAATTGGGAAGAGGAGAAGTTGATGCAGAGTCTCAAAGTAAAGATTCATTCTCTGACATCAGTTTAATTTGTGCAGAAAGAAGTAGCTAAATATTTTGCAGGACATCAATAAGATCACTCCTCCTCTCACTTTGTAGACTACTCAGGTAATGAGGACACATATGCATTCTCTACATTGAATAAGTTAAACAGGGGAGTTGGATAGTAGATACAGGGGCAAGCATAACACATACCGCACGCCGCCGAACTCGCGAGTGTCGCGGCGCCCACACTCTCGATCACGCGGAAAAAGCCGCGACCTCGTGAGTGCCACATACCGCACGCCCGCGCCTTAGGAATGTTGGTACAAAGATATTTAAATTATAAGTTTTCTTCTTAATGGTATCAAAGATACGAGAGAAAAATAACAGAGGAAGTTTTTTTTATGCTAAAAATTGATACATGATTTTCAGGTTTTCTCATACATATAAACAAAGTTATGTTCATAACTGAACACTAAAAAAAAAACTTGTACTAAAATAACTTCTACTTGCTTGTATTTTAAAGACAAAAAAAATAACACTATGCTAAGGCAAATGCTGGACGCATATTAAAAAAAGACAACATGATTAAATTATCAATCTCTTCCTTAAGCTTGTTGTTCTCTTCCAATGGTCTTCACACCAATCCTTTCTCTCATTTCCTGGAACTTTGGTTTTGCCAGTGATTTAGTCAGAATATCAGCACTCAGAATATCAGCACTCTGATCTTTTGTGCAAACGTGTTGAATTTCGATCATCCCTGATTCAATGCAGTCCCTGATGTAGTGAAAACGGGTATCGATATGCTTACTCCTCTCATGATAAACTGGGTTCCTGCTCAATGCAATTGCGGACTGATTATCGATCTTCAACACCATTTTTTTAACCTCGATCTTTAATAAATCTGCTAGCAATCGCCCCAGCCATACTCCTTGACACGCTGCTGCACATGCAGCGATATACTCAGCTTCACAAGAAGAAAGTGCAACAACTTTCTGTTTTTGTGAACACTAAGTAATCGGATTAGAACCAAGGAAAAATATTAGTCCCGAGGTACTTTTCCTGTCATTGATATCACCTGCTAGATCACTGTCATTGATATCACCAGCTAGATCAGTGTCGGAATATCCCACCAGCTCCAAAACTCCTTCATTTTTCTCATAAGCACAACCGAGATTTAGAGTACCTTTCACATAGCGCGATATGTGCTTTACTACTGCCATATGCTCTGTCATAGGCTTCTCCATGTGTCTACTCACCATACCGACTGAAAACGCCAAATCTGGTCGCGTGTGCAATAGGTATCTCAAGCTACCAACTACACTTCGGTACAAGGTTTTATCAACTGGAGGGTGAGTACTCTCTTTGTTCAGCTTCAAACGTGGCTCCATCGGAATATGTGTGGAATTGCAATCCTTCATCCCACACTTATCTAATACTTTTCTCGCATAAGCTGACTGATTTAGAGTAATTTTATAAGGAGTCTGACAAACTTCAATTCCCAGATAATAACTAAGTAACCCAAGGTCACTCATGCTGAACAACTTTTTCATCTGAGATTTAAATTTGCCGATATCTTGAGTGCTCTCTCCCGTGATAATTAAATCATCCACGTATACTCCAACAATCAAATTCTTTTTCTCCTGACTTCTGGTATACGCAGCATGCTCTAAAGAACACTTCTCAAAACCGAGTACCTTAAGTGATTTATCCAGTTTCGAATTCCAGGCTCTAGGTGCTTGTCGCAAACCGTATAAAGCTTTGTGTAATTTCAGCATCTTATGCTCTTCTTCTTTAATCTCGAAACCCGGTGTCTGGATAACATATACATCCTCTTCCAATTCGCCGTTAAGGAAAGCAGATTTTACATCCATATGGTGCACTTCCAAACCTTCATGTGCTGCAATTGAGAGAAGCAACTGTATTGTTTCCAATCGAGCAACCGGGGCAAACACTTCGTCAAAATCTATACCTTTCCTTTGAACATACCCCTTAGCTACCAATCTCGCTTTATACTTCACAATTTTTCCTTCAACATTTTTCTTCAATTTGTAGACCCATTTCAGTCCTGTTGCTTTTTGGTTGTCTGGCAATGTAACAAGTTTCCAAGTTTCATTTTTCTGGATAGAAGATATTTCTTCCTCCATTGCTATTCTCCAACTCGGAACAAGTTTGGCTTCTTCATAGCTCGACGGCTCCTCCTCTCCTAGCAAACACAATCCCGAATATTTTAAATCAATTAGAAAAGTTCTGTCATACAAACTTTTAAGATCTCGCTTTCCACGGTACGGACCGACTGATGAACTTTCCTCAAACATTTCAGGTTGAACTGATTCGAAAAATTCATCCCCATTAACTTCTGGAGTACGTGGTGAGTTTGAACCAGAATTTCCTATGTCAATACCAGAATCACTGATACTCTGTTCATTTTCCCGATTTTCTGTATCAAACATACCTTCAACAGTAAAATATTTTTGTGATGTTGTGTTCCCTACTGCCCGTGTTTCTTTCACTGGAACTTTGTTCCACTCCCACTTCTTCTCTTCCTCAAACACTACATCTCGTGACACCACAACTCGTCTTGTCACTAGATCAAACACCCGATAGCCTTTCGTATTCCTGTCATATCCAATGAACACCATTTTCTTACTTCGATCTGCAAGTTTTGAAAGATGAGGTGTTGTATCTTTTACGTGTCCCACACATCTAAATATGCGAAGATGTTCAACAGGAGGTTTCCATTAAAATATGCTTCATAAGGAATTTTTCCAGTGACACTTTTTTTGCTGGTGCTCTATTTAGGTGATACATAGCCGTTGACACCGCCTCTCCCCAAAATTCACCTGGGACATCCATGCTTTTCGACAAGCTCCGTGCCATGCTGACAACCGTCTGATTACTTCGTTCAACAATTCCATTTTGCTGAGGAGAATATGGCGCCGTTAGATAACGCTTAATTCTCATCTGTTCACAATATTGCTTGAACTCATTTGAGGTGAATTCTCCACCTCGGTCCGTGCGCGAAGCTTTGAGCTTACTGTCTTTCTCAATTTCAGCTGCAATTTTGACCTTCTTAAACGCTTCGAATGCCTCGTCTTCGCTTCAAATCAGCACCTGCCACATGAATCTAGTAAAATAATCAACCAACAGTAGAAAATAACGTTTGCCTCCATTTGTAGGAGGAGTTATTGGCCCACATAAATCTCCATGCCACAACTCAAAAGGTGATTTCGCTCGGAATTTCGTTACTGCTGGAAATGGATTTCGATGTTGCTTTCTGATTAACCAACCATCACAAATACGGTCCACATGCTTAATTATGGGCGGGCCATGCAACATCTGTTTTTGACTTAGAAGCCTCAAGGAATTAAAATTCACGTGCCCATATCTTGCATGCCAGCACCACGCCTCATCTTTGCTTCTAGTCAGAGTGATGTATAGGAGTGATGTGAAGCACATACAAACGGTTCTTTGATCTGCTTACTTTAATTAACAATTTTTTACTTCTATCCAAAATTGACATCACCCCTCCTTCAACCATAATCTTGCACCCGTTTTCATCTAACTGACCAAGGCTTATTATGTTACTTCTCAACATCGGGATATAGTATACATCTGTCAATATTCGGTGTGCACCAATGAAACACTCGAATAAAACAGACCCTTTTCCTTGTATTTCCACAGTTGACCCATCTCCAAACTTGACCGAACCTTTAACGTTTCTATCAATTTCAGCAAACTTTTCAATACTACCGGTCATGTGATTACTTGCGCCGGTATCTAGATACCATGACTTGTCTTGGTTGCCATTCAACTTTGGCACCACCTTGTTCATGTAGTAGCAACTTTTTGCTCTGTATTTCATGACTGAGGATGCAAACTTCTGTCATCAAAAGTGCCGGTTCTTCATCTGATTGTGTTGTAATAAGATTGGCTTGCTGCCTTCGGTTTGGTCTTGGACAATCTTTTGCAAAGTGACCAAATTCATTGCAATTGTAACATTTTACCTTGGATATGTCAAAATTTCGAGCTCTCCGCTCAACACCAGTGCGACCGCCATTTCCTCGACCTCCATATTGACCACGTCCACGTCCACGTCCTCGACCTCTTCCGTGATAGCCTCCTTTTTTAGTGCTGTTGAAATTTCTATCTTTCTTCCCTTTTGCACACTTAGCCTCCCACTCAGCCTGAGTGAGAAGTAGTTGATCTCCACTGCCCTTTGACAGCTCTCGACCTTTAAGCCCTTCCTCAAAGGTTCTGAGACGAGCAATTGCCTCTGATACTGACATATTCTCAATATCGCCAAACTGCTCAATAGTACCAATAATCTGAAGAAAACGATCTGGAACTGAACTAAATAACTTTTCAATCACTTCGCTATCATCGAGTTTCGTGACAAGTGATCGAATTTCAGCCACCAGCGTGGTAAGTTTCATAGAGTACTCATTTACCTTTTCAGAGTCCTCCATTTGTAACTTGTTCAGTTGTCGTTTTAGCACCTGTACTCGTGCCTTCTTGACACGATCTTCGCCGACTCGCATCTCCCTTAGTGCTTCCCAGGCTTCCTTGGCCGACTGCTTCTCTGCAATTGCCATCATGACATCGTCTGGCATTGCCTGAGATATAGCCACCATTGCTCCTTGATCTTTGTCATCATCTCTGTCTGTGCCTTCAATCACTGACCATACCCCTAGAGAACGCATGATGATCTTCATCTTAACAGCCCACATGCTGTAGTTTGATTCGCTTAAACCCGAGACATCAAGAGTGCTCTCCATTCAATGCCCGCGCCCGTGAATAATCCCGCGACATCAAATGTGCCACATTTCCTCGCTCCTTGCTCGTGCCACTTTTGCCCGTGCCCGTGGAAATGCTAGAGACCTCGCGAGTGATTCATTTAATGTGCTTGAAATTAGTATGTGTTTGAGCGGGGATTATAAACATGTTTGCTCATTTGCATTTTAACTATCGACTCATTATGAAATTTTTCCTTTTCTTAGCTTATGTTCTTATTTTCCTCTCTAGAATATGACAGGAGCTTATTACATCATTTTCCGGCGGTTTTTCCGGTGACTTTCTTTTTGTCCAAGTTTCGAACTTTTGAATCTGATTTACATCTATTACGCAATAAAAAATTGGGTATTTATCTTTAAAACTCATTACTTTGGTTTTTGCCTCGTTTTTACTTATGATGCTTATTAAGGTAAATGTGAGTATTGTTAGATGATGGATGGAAAGTTCGGACTTGATTGTTTTTGTTGCTTGCTTGAGTGTTTGTAGGGATTAATTGTTTGTCTATCTAGATTAAGGGTTAAGACTCGATTAGAGCTTAATGACTTAGGGTTAGGGTTAATTACCTAGTGTTCCTAGCTTGCATACTTATCTTTGTTATTTGTTTTACTTTTCTTTGTGTCGATGGCATAGAGACTCTGGTAGTTTAATTTCACTATTTGCTCGTTGTTTGCAATTGCTCGTAATGATTTGTTTGCTTAGTATTAATTCAACTCCAAACCAATCGATGAATGTTTAGGATTTATTTTCTCTTTTTGTGATTTGGACAATTAAATAGTGAATCAAGCTCCGAACAGCCTACCTTAGAGAATGACCCGAGGTCGAATAGTTCGGTTACCATCTACCCCAACCACAAAATACTATTAAACAGAAACTTCCCATGAAATCCGTGAAATCCAAATTCCGATGGAAAATCCGGCCCCAGAAATTCAAGTGGTGGAAAATACGGCCCCGAACCGCTCGAACAAAAGATGACTTGGTTTCTGTTATTTCTTGAGCCATCACTGGTAAGCATAGAGTTTTCTTTAGCCCTAAAAAAAAAAGTTCAGAAAAACGGTGTATGATCACCTTAAGAAGCCCAAGTAGTGGAAACTTAAAATTTTGTTGGTATGTGGTCAAATAACGTCGGTTTTCTTGTAGTTATGGCATTTGGCTTCAACATTGGTATTTTCGGAAAGAAAAAAAAAATTGATTGCCAGAAATACTGTTAAAGTAAAATGGTGGCTCAAACCATTTTTAGATACATCTGTTGTTGCGTGTGTAGCTTTTATAATGATTTCCACAAGGATTTGAAAAAAATCTTCGGTATCCACAATTTATACAACAAGCGTTTTCTTTCTTCATGTCGTCAATTTAATAACTCAGATGGAGGTCTACATTGTGTTGGAGTGTGGAATCGCAATTCTTGCGGGATTTCTGAAGTTCCATACCCAATATATCCATCCACTAGTGTTGGTCAGAGTAGGCTTTGGGCTCAAAATTTTCAAGGATTTATTTGGCGAAGAGAAAAAAATTTAATGCATCAAGATTTGATTGGATCAAGAAGATAGAGAAAGCCTTCAAGAAATAGGGGATGTTGCGGTCTAGTGAAAAATCATTCCGAAACCAAAAAATTGAGTCGAACCATATAATTTGGTGTGGTACAGTTTGGTTTTTTTAATGTAGAAAAATCTCGATTTGGTTTTGGTTGTGGTTCGGTTTTATCCTACATTGGGTGTGGTGTTGTTATAGTTTTTTATAAGTTCGGTTTACGGTTTGTTGGTTCGGTGCAGTTTTGCATCAGACCGCACCATATAGAATAATATGTATAAAAAAAATCATGATAAAATTGAAAACCGATCCAAACCGCGTATTTTTGGGCTGAGCTTTTTGGAGTGGGTATGAGTAGGCCTTTAACAACTTTCATGGTGACGGACTCCAGCACATTTTCATAGTTGGGCTGAAGAGATTTGTCTCGATTGGCTGTTTCATGGAAATGTATTAATTGAAATAGTATATTTGTTAAATATGATTTTGGTGGAAGCATGTATGATATGTTATGCGGTATCATGGAGGGTGATGAGTTGGATGTTGATGTTTCTTTTTCAGATGACTTACTCTCAGCCATAGTCTTCTGAAGTGTCATCATCTGGGTAGTGTAAAGCTAGAGTTGTGTGGTGAGTAGACACATACAGCTTAATGAAACAGATAACATGGTGTTGCTCAATTGATGCAACAATATCTTTAGACAAGTCAATGCCTCTGCACCGAAATTGTAATTGAATGGATTAAGCTTGTCTGAATTATTGCTTTACGAAGACGCATGAAATGTATCATTTTTGTTCGGAAAGAAAAATGCAGTCAAAATTGAATAGTTTGCATTTAGCCAAACAAATAGCAACTGTCATTTTTCATGGTTTGAAAGCATAATAGATCTATTTGACCCTGAAATTTAGAAAAAGAATACACTCTAAACATATTTCTTAAAAAGAATACAGTCTAAACATAGTTTTATGATTTTCATAAAGGAACACAATTTGCACATAACCAAACAAAAAAAAAAAAAAACATACCTATACTATGTGGCCAAGTTCGCCCGAAGAATCTTTCCATTGACCTTCAGTAATAGCATTTCGGTTACAAATTAGAGAGAGAAGTACAAATGTCAGCAACTAATAATGGATTGAATGTGTTATGAATTGATCGAAATAAGAATATCAATAACGTAACACTGTATTAAAAAGATATATAGGCAGATTAAGCAACAAGCAAAAAAAAGCTGAAAACATTAAAAAGAAAAAAATAAGAGATATGTCAACTTTAAACAACAACAATTAGTGGGTAAAGGGCAAAACAAATCTATTGGCACAGAACTTTTGTAACTTTTTTCTATATAACAAGTTTATAAAATAAATAATATCATGTAGTGTTGACCAACCAATCTGATAGCATAAACCAACTTTATATCCGACAACAATTAATCACGAATCTACAGCTCAAAACACCTCTACGCCCAATACATCTAGTCAATGAATATTAAAGGTTCCTCCTATAAACATTCAAGAATCTGAACAAAATGATTAAAAAGAAGAAGAAGAAGAATGTCAAAAGGAACCCAAAAAAAAAAAAAAGAAAAAAAGAAAAAAAAAAACAGCAAACTGTTTTTTCTATTTGTATTTAACCGATTATAGAATATCTTATAAATAATCTATTAGCATACTAAAGATTATGAGAAATCTTCTTACAATAGTCTAAAACCAAATAGAAAAAATGTTCATGTGTGATTTTACACCATATTTATAGAGTATTTAAAACTTAGTCATTGCACTATTGGTGTATAAATTGCGTTATTGTGATTTAATTCTATATTTGTTGGAATTGTAGTACACATGCTTGTTTTGTAGATATTTTCACATATTTTGTAGATCTTCGGCTATTGGAGGCGCACATTAAGTACCTAGGACCCCGGGATGATGAAGGATTGAGGCACGGATGAGAAAAATAGAAGAAAACAAGTGAAACGGGAAAAGTAATCAAGCAGGGAGGTGACATGGGCAGTGACACGGGAATCATGCCCGTGTCAGAGGCCGTCTCACCTAACTGAGGGATTTCAAAGCTTTAGACTTGACACGGGCTGTGACACGGCCAGTGACACGAGCAGAATGGCCGTGTCGCGTGCACAGCCTGATTTTTGTTTCTTGCCTTTTTTGATAAGGAAAAAGCTTTTGGACATATGAAAAGGTATGTCTACCTTATTTTGAGAAGACGCAAAGAGAGAACACAAAAGAGAAGCAATTGGGAAGCAAAAACATCACCTACGAAGGGATCAAGAAGATTGAAAGATCGACGAGATTCCTAGTTTTTATTTCTTTTTTCCTTTTCCTTTTGAACTTTTATTGATCATGTCGATTTCTAATGTCTTTGTATTTGAATTCGAAGATGAGCGGCTAGATTTATAGATTCTAAGACTTGATAGAAGATTAATATGTTGGGATTTTGGATGATTTATCTATAGTTAATTGTTTTAAATATTTTGTTTTTATTCCATGTTTAGCACTTGATCAATGCTTTTACATGTTTGACAATATTGTAAATAATTCGAGAGAAATTCAATATTAGGTCTTTAAATATTTGACACAATTTACTTGCTTGAATCGATACATTAGTAGGTCATTGTGAGGATATTAGATCTTTTAATATATTTGGAAGTTGAATTGCATGCGTTGATTGAAAAAGCTAATATATGTGATTTAATCTACAGTTTTATCGATCTCGAGAGGGACGGTAAGCTAAATTTGTGATCGTCTTATAGGGTAGATAAAGAAAACATTTAGTTGTGATATTTTTTAAGGAACGCAACTGTTAATTGAAACCAAAGTCTTAGAATCTATCATTCCTATATATTTTCTTACGTGTTTTTCTAGCTAGTTCTTTATTTTTGCTTATTTCCTTTAATTTATTTTCTTAGTTTAGTTAATCCATCTTATATTCGATGTCTAAATAAAGTTGACACTATCATAATCTAGTAATTGATACATTAATTATTTGGTCTCTTGGGATACGACCTTGCTTGCCACATACTACGAGTGAAGCCGTACACTTGTGGTCGAGCTTTAAAAATATAGGCGAACAAGTTTTTTGTGCCGCTGCAGGAGACCAATATAATTATTTATAACAATATTACGATAGATAGTGATAATTTTAATTTAGATATTTTTTTTTTATTTCGGGTGACATAATATTTTTTTATTTTTTTATTTCAAGACGTGCATGTTAACTCGCTCTAAAGGTGCACAACTACCACCCTTGATTGACGAAGTTGAAGCATTTGCTAGACGCAATAGTGCAACGACTAAAAAAGGAAGAGGCAATTCAAACTGCACAATGGACGAGCAAGAACAACCAAAGCAAACGATTCGTGACCACTTTCGGCCTCAATTTAAAAGGAATTTTGGCGGGACTGTACATATACTCGTCAATGCAAATAATTTTGAGTTGAAACCCTCTT